ATGTGTTTATGAAGTGGTTGTTTTGTTTCCCCAATGTACAGATCTGCACATAGCTTACTGCATTGTAGTGCATATACCACATTGCTCAGTTTGTGCCTGGGTGTTTTATCCTTGGGGTGGACAAGCTTCTGCCTTAGTATATTCTTGGGTTTGAAATGAGCACATTTCTTGTGTTGGCAGAAGATCCTCCTGAGCTTTTCCAATATTCCTGCAACATATGAAATGACAACATTGCTTGTTTATTGTTCTCTTCATTGTCTGTTATGGAGGAGCTCCTGTAGGGATTTGATGAGGCCCACTTGGGGTAGCCACATGTTCTGAGAGCTTGCTTGATATATTTTAGTTTGCTTTCTTTCTTTCTTTCTTTCTTTCTTTCTTTCTTTCTTTCTTTCTTTCTTTCTTTCTTTCTTTCTTTCTTTCTTTCTTTCTTTCTTTCTTTCTTTCTTTCTTTCTTCATAGATGTTTGCCAAATATATTTTTAAACGGCTAAAGGCCAAAGAAATATGGATTCTGTTACATTGGGGTAAAGTCCTATATAGATTTTCTGGGTGTGCTCTGACATAAAATGAAATAAACCTAGAAAGTCAGTAAAAGCTAAAATAAAGAAAATAGGGTAGCTAATAATGAATATTTTTAAAAAGTACTTATTTTATCAAAAACAAAAGTTTGCTGGCACATACTTATTAATAAGTGTGTAAAAGGCTGTAATCTTAGCATAACCAGTTACTAACAGAAAAATGCCAACAACGTAATTCAAATATCAAACACACTGTAGCTCATAGTTTTAATGAAGAAATCTTGTTTAGGCTCCTTATGTATGTATGGAAAAAACCAAATCCATTGAAATCTTTAAATGTTACATCAGTTGCACTTTAAAAACTTTAAAGTTGCCAAGTTTGGAGACCTTTGATATATTGTAATCAAATAGAAACTCTGTAATGTTATTTATTTCCCACCTTTATTATTTTGATAAATAACTCAAGGTGGCTAACATACCTAATATTCCTTTTCTCTTCCTGTTAATCCATCCTGAAGGAGAATCTTGGCTTATCATTAAAATTTTCTGATTCCCGCCTTTGCTTCAAGGATGCTAGTTAGGATGGTGGAAGTAGTAATCCTCCAACACATGTGAAGTTGTAACCCAACGTTGAGAAAGGTTACATCTTGATTGACAAAATTAGTCACAGAGAATACCACACCTTCAGTTTACGCCCTAAATCTAATATGTGACCAAGCTCCCATACCTTGTGTTCCCTATCTAGATCAAGAAAACAATACAATAGTTGAAGTATTTTTCGTAAAGTGGTTTCCTGGTCTTGTGATATATAGGCATAATGTCCAAAGGTTCCTGCTTTTCCTTCCCTTTGTGAGAGATAGACTACTCTCACATAAGAAATTTTTTTTTGGTAACTTAATTATTTAAACAGAAAGAAAGAAAATACAATGTTCCAGATAGCATTTTTTTGTTAGTTAGGATGTCTGAGAAGATATTAAATACATTTTAAATTAATGCTGCAGATTACAAGAAAGTGGTATAGAAATCTAACCTCATTTATACAGGGCAGGGAAGGACTGGGGATATTCCACTTTGTTTATTACCTAGAGCCTCTCTCTCTCATAGGAATGTACCTATGTCATTGCTGGTTACATCATCTCCATCCCTCAAATTATTTAATGTGCAGAAATGGAGAGGATTCACCTAGTGTACGCCTAAAAGGGTTAAAGTTGGAATAACCCAAGACCACTGACTTTGAATTATATGTGCTAATTATCAGTAGCACTGTTTCCAGTGACTCTGGAAAGTTCTATACTTGTTCTATAGTACTGCAGTTAATGTAAACTGTTGCTTGCTATTGGTATCTTTCTCTGCTCAGGCATGCCGGTTAACTTTTATTTAAATGTTCACTGATGATTAGTAAATACATATTGGGTGATAGTTTTGCTAATTGAAATGAAGGGTGTTTATGTTTGCTCTCAGCTGGGGTTGCCTGGGAATGTACTGGAGGCAAACTTAACTGGAAATTACTCATAATTACAGTATCTTTTTACTGAACTGCTTTTCTTGGCTAGCCAGATTTGGCGCATTTATCTTTTGTAAGGCAGTTTCTATTATAATAGCAGTGGCACGTAGATTTATATACCACTTCATAGTGCTAATAGAATACAATTGCCAGCACTTCAGGCAGGACTGCATAAACCTGAGATCCTTTACCTAATGACTACTGGAGCTGCCATTGCTGAGTAGCATAGTTATATGATGTTTTGCTTAATGACTGTTTGGATAATGACTTAGTGACAAAAATCCAGTCCCAATTTGGGCAGTTGAGTAAAAAATACCAATAATGGATTTAAGACACTGTCTTATTGAAGGTTGGAAGTAAGTTCTTAACAGGTAAGCATGATTTGACAATAAAACAAATTACCCAGAGAAGTCATAGTCTTCTATTTAGTACATACAGGTGTTCAGGTAAGGCTACACAGTTATTTGTGAGGGATGGTTTAATATACATTCAGCTGCTGTTTGAATCTGATGGCCTAAATCTGTGATGGCGAACCTATGGCATGTGTGCCACAGGTGACACACAGAGCCATTTGTGTGGGCAAGTAAGCCCCAGCCAAACTTACCTGCACTGCGCATGTGCGTACCTCCCAGCTGATTTTCGGCCCGTTTGAGGCCTTTTTGACCTCCTGGGGGCTCAAGGAAAGCCTTTGCAGCCTTTGGAGGCCGAAAAACGGGCCTTCCGGAAATACCGGGAGTGCAGAAATAGGCCCATTTTTCGGCTTCCAAAGGCTGCAAAGGCTTCCCTCGAGCCCCCGGGAGGGTGAAAATGACCTCAAACAGGCCAAAAATCAGCTGGGAGGTATGTGCATGTGCAGTACAGGTAAGAGGAGGTTGCGTGCGCATGCACAGGGGGGGCTGACTGCATTGCATTGTGGGTGCTGGCACGCTTTCAGCACATCACAACAAAAAGCTTCACCATCACTGGCCTAAATGCTTCCTCCAACTCTGTTCTGTAATCTGTTTATCATTCTATGACATGAAGGTGGTAATTCTTTAACAGAGAAAATTTTAAGTGGGTGGTAGACATGAAATGATAGTAGTATTGTACCTTGAATCTGGATTTAAATTTTCTTTGTGATGTACTTAGATTAACCAGCAAACCACAAGAATACCCGGTATACCACTTAGTAATTTGAATAATCACTATTAAGTAAGTGCCTCTGCTTTTTGAGAAAAATTTCAGTCATATCACCACCATCTCCCTGATACTCCTATATTTTTGTCTCAGAGTTTGACATCATTTATCTAATCGAACTTGTTTGCAGTCCATAAATCTTGTGTCTTAATACAGGTGGGTGGTGGATTATTATTTTTTCTGCAACAGGTCAACATGGCTACTCCTATTTCTTAGTCAGAAATTTCTTATTTCTGTCTATTATCTTGCCTCTGCAAGATAACTTTGTTCCTGCTCTGGTTTATGTATTGAGAAAGAACAGATAAATGAAACAGACACTGATTAACTGTTGATTCTTTACATCCCGGAGAATACTGAATGAAGAAATTTACAGTGCATTTAAACTGTGTTTAATATGATACTGCAGGGCCATATAAGCTTTTCTTTGTTTTTCATTTGTTAAGCATAAATATTAAACACAAATATTTAGTTTATTACTTATTAAATTATTGTCCTTCCCACCTCACTGTCAAGTGACTCATTGTGGCTATACTACAAGAATGTGACTTCTGCTTTCTCTTTTTTCCTGGTATGGTTTCCTTACTAATTGTGAAATCTGCTTTCTGAAACTGGTTTTGTTGATACTGTTTAGTGTTGATGAAATAATGGTTTATCCATTCATCCTGCTTAAGATGATCTAATTAAAGCAGGGGTGTCAAACTCAATTTCATTGAAGGCCACATCAGGGATATGTTTGACCTAGGAGGGCCGGGTGGGCGTGGCTGACTAGGTGGGCATGGCCATCTTGACGCCACTCACTGGGTGTGGTTGACTGGGTGGGCGTGGCCAGCTTGACGCCACTCACTGGGTGTGGCTAACTAGGTAGGCATGGCCAGCTTGACACTACTCCCCAAACTGCTGGCATGTTTCCTGTTTGCTTTGGGTAGACTGGGCTGAAGCGACGCGAGCCGACCCCTTACATTTTCCAAGATGGCCCCGAGGGCCAGATCTGACCACATCATGGGCTGGATCCGGCCCACGGGCCTTGAGTTTGACACCCCTGATTTAAAGAGTCTTATATGGTAGGGTAGCGACTTTAGTTTCAAAGGTTCTTTTTTACATAATTGCAGGTGAAATAAAAATACAAAATTTGAAAAGTATATTTAAAGGGGAGTTTACTTCAAGGAATTATATTTTAATGTGTTACTTTTATGTAACTAGAATGCCTACACATGGGTCAAACTTTGCAGGTCATCTTCTCATTGCAGGTCCAGGTAGGAGTGATAAGTAGATGTCAGTGACAGCAGTAGGGAAGTTGTGTGCTTGTTTTTGTGTTGTTATATTCTTGGCAGATTTAAATAGACAGGTATACTTAAAAGCAGTCAAAGGAACTTGGTGTATAGTATATTAAAATGGTTCATATCATTATGAAAATCAGCAAATACACAATCTCAAGCCCCCAAATATTCATTTTCATTTATACCTTGCCTTCCCATTAAAGAAGGCACCTAGGACTCTTTTCCAAGCACCTGATTCAACAGGTAACAGTTTTAGTTGTCCTCTGAAACTCAGCAACATAATATTAACCGTACATCACCAGGAATTTTCTGCACCGTTAGTTAGCAATAGATTCCCATTTAATATATTCAGTCAAAATTACTGAGCATCCTGCGCACTTCACATCATCTCTCCCTCTTTGAATCTGGATTGCCAAGGACAAACCCACCTCAATGGGAGTTTATTTTGATGACTGAGATGAAAGAAACTGTACAAAGTTATTGGAATGGTGGCATGAGTATTTAAGTCCTCTCTTCTCATTTTCAGAGCAGTGGCAAAAGTTCTGTACTAGAAAGCCTAGTTGGAAGAGATTTGCTCCCAAGAGGCACTGGGATTGTTACTCGAAGACCCCTCATCCTGCAGCTGGTACATGTTACGTCAGAAGAAAGTCGGAAAACCGCTGGAGATGAAAACGGTAAGGCCTGACCTCTGTGCGATTAGTGGATATTTAAATGGTGATTATGAATGAGGCTTTGTCATGCAGTCAACGCGGAGAAGAAGCAGTACTTAAATTTCTCCTGTGCCTTAGGTTTTTTGAATTACTATTTTTCTCCCTTTAAGTATCCTGATGTTGAAGTACAGGTAGCAAATTGCAACAAGAATTCAATAATTTTATGTCTAAGGAAGTTTATATATGGGGGAAAGAAAGATCTAATGGAATAAGTTTATATTGCATATGGTATATGAATGTGTTCAATTAATCAATCAATCAGTTTATTACAGTTTTAGACCAGAGACCAGAACAAATAAAACACTCAGTAAATATACAATTAAAAATTCTAGTATAAAATAAGAACTAAAATCTATAATAAAATCCAGTCTGTCAATTATACATGGTCTAACTATACTAACATTACAATCCATAAACTCTGTGGCCCATTGTAGGTCCATTGCTAAAAGGGAAAAGATTAAGCAGTGCAAAGGGTTTGCTCCATTATAGTTATATAACAGTGATGTGCCAAAAGCGCGCACACACGCGTGCATGCCAGCACCCACAATGCAATGTGCCTTCCCCCGCTCACACGTGTGCAACATCCCCCATTCCCCCTTACCTGCACTGTGCATGTGCGTACCTCCCAGCTGATTTTCGGCCCATTTGAGGCCTTTTTCGCCCTCTCAGGGACTCCCAGGGAAATACCAGAAGTGACGAAACAGGCCCATTTTTCATCCTCCAAAGGCTGCAGAGGCTTCCCTCAAGCCCCCGGGAGGGCGAAATGGCCTCCCCTGGGCTCCAGAGACCCTCCAGAGGCTGAAAACGGGCACTTCCGATATTTCCAGAAGGCCCATTTTTGGGCCTCCCGAGGCTGCAGAGGCTTCCCTCGAGCCTCTGGAGGCTGAAAACGGTCTCAAACAGGCCAAAAATTAGCTGGGAGGCATGTGCATGTGCAGTGCAGGTAAGTTTGGATGGGGGCCCCTTTTTATGTACAGCTGAACAAATAATTTTTGGAAGAATAAGGAGAGTATAATTTATAAACAGTGATTACTACTTTCTAAAGCTCTATGAACATTTCTTTACTGTAAAAGCAGGAATTTGTTCTCTTGAAGAATCATCCTTTTTTCTTAATCTTTATGTTCAGGTTCCCCAATGCCCCATGCTTAATCAGAAGATAAGAAAATGTAATTTGCCCTTCTGGGAAAATGATTTTAATTGGGCAACAGGGGAAGTGGAATATATTGGACCTGTTTTTATTATGGAAAGAAAAAAAATGTCAAGAAAATACATTATTTGTATGACTAGTATTTGAAGGGAGCATTAGCTGGTCTTCCAGTTTCTGGCACGCATGCAAGCGCAAAGACCAGTAGCTGGTGCACATGCATACACCAGAATCCAGAAGAACAACGGGCAACGGCTGGCGTGCGTGCCGTAGGTTCACCATCACGGGTTTAATCTATTTATTGGTATATAAGCTCTGATTGTTTTGTCTTAAGGATTGCTGATCATTGTCAGGCTGAATGGCATTTTTAGAACCATGTGGGAAGCCAGATATAAGGGCATTGTGGTTCGAATGCAGAAAACATGATATGATCCACATTCTTGGCAATAATAAATAATATCTCCAGAGCTGAAGAATTTTCTTGGATGAGAAGCGAAAAACAAGTCCAGTTGCCTCCTGAAAAAACACCTTTGGGACAGTCTCTTCTGTTGTTTTCCATGGCATTTCAGGGTCAAAAGAGATAACAGTAGGGAATTGGTTAGTCTCTCACAGAGAGAGAGAAAGAGAAAGAAAGAAGGATATGAGTCTCTCGGGCTGAGCTATGAGAAAAAGTACAGTTCTCCCAATTGTGGATGCTTATATAATCTGTCAACATTTATTGATGATATCGTTCTCTCTCTTGTATATCTTAAGGCAATATTGGTAATACTCCCATCTCTTATTTTGTCCGCCACAGCAATGTGATGAAGAGGGTTAGGTTAACAGAAAGCATGACAAGCCAAAGCTTTCATGCTAAGGGAGGACTGGAACTCATAATCTCCAGTTTCTAATCCACCACTGTAACCACTATGCTAAACTGGCTTTAGTGTTAAAACTTACTAAGGTTAGTATATTGCATAAATTGGAGCCACCAGTTTTTAATTGACGTAATTACATGGGTTGTGACGGTGATTGTGGATCATCAATCATATGATTCAGTCTTATATTGCAGTTTTTTGACGTAGGCAGGGAATTTTAGTAGTGTTCTTATATACAAGTATGGATGACTTATGGCCACAATTGAGCCCAAAATTTCTGTTGTTAAGTGAGACATTTGTAAAGTGACTTTTGCCCCATTTTACGACCTTTCTTGCCACAGTTGTTAAGTAAATCATTGCAGCTGTTAAGTTAGTAACATTATTGTTAAGTGAATCTGGCTTCCCCATTGATGTTGGTTGTCAGAAGGTCGCAAAAGGGGATCACATGGCCTTGGGACACAACAACCGTCGTAAGTATGAGTCAGTTGCCAAGACTCTGATTTTTTTGATCACGTGATCATGGGAATGCTACAAAGGTCGTAAGTGTGAAAAACGATCCTAAGTCACTTTTTTCAGTGCTGTTGTAACTTTGAACGGTTACCTAATTAACTGTTGTAAGTTGAGGACTCCATAGTCCTCGACTGCCTTGCTTAGCAATGGTTTGACGTTATGACTAACCCCCCCCCCATTGCAATCAATCCTTGCATTTATGATGCTGTCCTGCAGTCATGTGATTGCCTTTTGGGGGCTTTGCAACTGGTGCACATTGATGGCCGCTGCAGTGTCTCCGGGTCCCTGGATTTCCATTTGTATGCCTCTCAATGGGCTGGTAAACAAGCAGTTTAATAGAGAAGGTGCCAGTAAAATTATAAGGTGTGGCCATGGGATGTTTCACTTAACAACCAAAGGAGAAGCGATGTGGTAAACACTTGTTGCAGACAGATGATTTTCCCCTCCGTGAACATGAACCTGAATGACCTGATTGTGGTTCCTAAGTGAGAATTATCTGTGCAGAAGGTCTCAGGCTGAGACAGCCTGTCATAGAGTTTCATGTAAACTCTTTTTTTAAAAAAATAGTGACGTCTATACCCATTAACTCAAATTGGGACATTAGCTCTGTATTCTGAAAAATGGAAGGTTGTGTTCCCAGTGTGACTGTTTTCTGGTGCTTAATTCTGCTTTTGGTAAATGGAAGTACCACATGGTATAACAGTTGGTTTAGGTCATTTCAAAGCTATGACCTATAATAGGTCATTTCAAAGTCAGCAAACCTTTCCCCCTCTTTGTTGATTATCTGCTTGGTGCCTACAAGCTTTTCAGATGAAATCTTGACCGCATTAATAGTTTCTTAAGTCAGTGTGTACGTCTCTGTGCATGCTGTGATTTTTGCAGGATAAAACTAATAAAAACCCTGCAACTTGAAGTAACACATCTGAAAGGGGCTGGGGGCAGGGGACGACAGACAAAACAAACCCTCTGTAGAACTAAACCTTTGATGCTGTTTCTTTTTAACTGCAGACCCTGCAACTTGGAAACATTCAAGGCGCCTTTCTAAAGGTTTCCTATTCACTTCTTTTCCCACTACACAGAATTTGCATGCTTACTTATGTAGTGTAGCCACCAGCTTTCCATGTCACTTCTTTTGCTGCCTGCTGTCTGTATTTGCACATTCACACGCTGGCTGCTTTGCTAAATCTCTGGTTTTGGTTGGCTGCCTTAAGCTTGGCCTTTCCATCTCTCTGCCTGCATTTGTGTCAAATTAGGAACCTTAACTGGAAACCTATCCTTTTTCTGGAAAGTGGTATAATGCCTGAACATAACTGTTTATAATCTTTCTCTCTTTTTCCTTTAAGCCAAGGGTCTCCAAACTTAGCCACTTTAAAACTTGTGGACTTCAACTCCCAGAATTCCCCAGCCAGCCATGCTGGCTGGGAAATTCTGGGAGTTGAGGTCCACATATCTTAAAGTGGCCAGGTTTGAAGACCCCTGCTTTAAGCTATGGTAGCGTGCATTTCTTGGAAGTAGTAAATGGTGAATAATTGCAATAAGTAGTACTGGAAAAAGAACACTTGTCTAGCGTCATGGAAATGTGACATAGGCTATGAGAAGGCTAATTTGAGAAATCATCTGCAAGCAAATTGTTTTGCATCTGCCAATGTTTCTGGAAAAGCTGCTTGGTCTCATGATAGATCTGCAGGCCACCCAAAAACTGGTTTTCTCTTTAAAAGTTGCTTTAAAGCAGAGTCACAAATTCAACACGCTGTTCTTATTAAAACAAGATTCATCAAATTAGAATGATGAATTTTGACCATAGCTACCAAGTGCCTCCAAGCTAGTGCTTTCCAAATAGTTTCCCCCCAGATGTTTATTTTATGTGTATCATATAATATACATATTATTATATTATTTTTATTTGTAACATTTATGCGGGCACCCAATTGAAAATTTCTCTGGACAATTGGGATTATAAATTTTAGAATTGCAATTGTAATTTGTTTTGAACATTGAAAGTTAAGAATTCTGCTTTGGGTAAGCTGACTTTTTTAAAAAAAGAAAAAGGGATATACATTCACAGATTATTATAAAGGTAAAATCTGGATGCTTATGGTTCTGTGAAGAAAATATTCTTAACTGTTATCCCAGGAAGCCACAGTTATGGACAATATAGTATAAGGATAAAACTGGGTGTAGAATTGAAATGAGTTAGGAAGTATGACATTCCTTGACAGAGGTATTGGCTGCCTTAGACATCTCTACTCAATACTTCTATAGTTATACTTTTTAATGTTTGTCGCTTCATTGTACCTTTTCTCCCCTGGAAAGTTTATACTAACATTCTTCTTGGCACATAAAATAAGGGAACTGCAGAAGATCCTGTATAGATAAACAGGGTAACAGAAGCATTCTGTTGTATGGCTGCTTGTATAATGCCCCCAATTCAGTTGTAGTTGTTTATGGCCAAGTTACATATTAAGCAACAAGATTTTTGCCTAGTCAGTATTAGTTTTATGACTTTTATCAACTGTCTCCTTAAGTCCATTGATGATATGAAAAAAATGCACTCATATATGTACTTTCCTGCTCTGTAGCTGCTTCAAAGACTGACCTAAAATGGATCTAAATAGAAGAAGCAGGATATGCCAGGATCAAGGTTCTTAACCATCTATGGTATTACCTGTTCTCGGCAGAGTACACATTAGTAAATGCTTTTTTTTTTTTTTGCTTATAATTGATTAATGTTGCTTGTTTTTAGTTTCACCTTGAATAGCCGAAAGAGCATAGCTCAAGAAACTATATGTATACATGGACAACTTTTGTTTGTGTTGCCCACCTCTTGTCTCACGCCACAATGATCTCTTTGCAGGGATTGAGGCTGAAGAATGGGGAAAATTTTTACACACCAAAAACAAGGTAGGCTTTGCTCTTTATGATCTGCAGTAACAAAAAGGATGGCTAGCACCTACTGTGTAAGATGGTTGAATGCTGTCATTTTGATTCCTCTACAATCATCCATAAGCATTCAAGGGCATGATGATAGAAATAGAAGATAGAGGGGGTCATTGGGTGTAGCTCGGTACAATGTTTCGAAGCAGCATTTTAAGCACTGAGGGTGAAAATTCAGTTCCTTGAAAGCTCCAGGATTTTCAAACTAGCCTTGTATGTGTGCAAGAGACAGATTCTCAGTGTGATACTCCGTGTAAATGTGATTGCTTGCTTCACATGCAAACTTGTTTCACACTGTGGTCAGGGGTGGGATGCTACCGGTTCTGCCTGGCTCTATAGAACCGGTAGCTCTGAAGAGCAGCAGACACCAAACGGGTTCTGTGTTTGCTGCTGTTTGGTCTGGGCTCTTATCTGTCATTTATTTCCTGCTTTGTCAGCCTCAGCTGCTTTGCACGGCACAGCTGAGATTGAAAAAGCAGGAAAAAAAGAGGCTTTTCAAAGGCTGTGCACCTGCTCACTGAGCTTTTCAGCTCTCCGGGTAGCACAGCTTAAGTTTTTTTTACACGCGTGCGAAATGCTTATGCACGTGCAAAATGTAATCATCAAACTGGCAGTAACACTGGTTGAATCCCACCCCTGACTGTGGTTTCTGAGTTCTGTATACCTAAGTCATAATTGTTTTAACCATAGTTAGTTGAATAAGCAAATATTAGTTTTGTGGTCAGTACTTTTCTTGCCGACCAGTTAAGTTGGCTTCTTGAAAGATTTCCTATGTTTTCCCAATTTCTGTATTCAGGATAAATGGGCAATTTGCAAAAACAAACGAGTTCTAGGTCCCCATGTCTGTCCTGCATCTGTACAGTTACGTTGCTTTGTTGTCCTGTTAGGGAGTGTCATAATTATGTATTCCAACAATCATAACACAAAGTTTGGATGGAAGTACTCAAACACCTTCCTTCAAAACTTGCATGAACACTTGTGAGTACTTAAACAGGAAGATGTTAGCAAAATTTGCAGACAGGCACCCTGTTTTCTCAAATTTTTGCAGAACAGCAGCAATGCAGATAGTCCTCAACCTATACCCATTTATTTAACAACCATTTTAAATTACAACTGTGCTAGAAAAAGTGACTTATGTCTGGTCCTTATAGTTAGGATTGTTATAGCCTCCCTGTGATCACATGATCAAAATTCGGGCATTTGGCAACCAGCATATATTTACAGTTGTTCCAAAATCCTGGAATCATGTGATTGCCATTTGTTGCCTTCTGAGGATGCTTCCAACCAGTTTCAGTGGGATAAGCTGGATTCATGTAATGACCATGTGATTCATTTAACCACCATGGTAATTCACTTATTGGCTGTGTGGCACAAAGGTCATCAGATTGGCACAATTCACTTAACAACTGTGTTTCTTAGCAACAGAAGTTTCGGTCCCAGTTGTAGGTCATAAGTTGAGGACTATCTGTAATGCACACAACTGCAACCAAACTACAGTGAAAAAAGTGAAACAATACGAGCTTCAGAAAACTGCCTTCTATTTTTATGGTGTGGAATAGCCATTCTTGGCCTTGGAAGTTGTTAAATAAAGCTGCATCTCTCCAATCTACACCCACATTACTTTCAAACTTGGCAAGATTGAATGACTCTGTTTCTGAACTCACTAGTTACTCTTCAGCTTTCTGGTGCTGGTTGTCAGTTACAAAGTTTTGGTGGCATAGAATCATGTTTTCCCATTGTTTCTGCCCATCCAGAAAGATAAAACAGAAGTGGTCATGTTGCGATGGTACTCAATGGTACCCAGGTGGCGTGTGTGCCTCCATTAATACAATACTTGCCCTCTGGAACACTTGTCACCCGGAAATTTAAGTGGTGCTTACATCCTGTCATCCTGTCTGTTAATGTATTAGTCCCTGAGTTATGGCGTTCTTTGTATTGTATTGGATATGTTTTTAACTTGTTAAATAGTTATTTAATATTTAAGGAGCCTCTGTGGCGCAGTGGTGAGAGTACAGTACAGCAGGCTACTTCTGCTGACTGCCAGCTGACTGCAATTTGGCAGTTTGACTCTCACCAGGCTCAGGGTTGACTCAGCCTTCCATCCTTTTGAGGTGGGTAAAATGAGGACCCAAATTGTTTGGGAGCAATATGCTGACTCTGTAAACAGCTTAGAGAGGGCTGTAAAGCACTGTGAAACGGTATATAAATCTAAGTGCTATTGCTGTTATGAGTTAAATCACCTGTAAACATCTAGATAAAAAGGCTGACCAGAACAGAGTTATTTGCAAAAGGCTTTCAGCTCCTTTGCTTTTTCATTACTTTTACAGCTCTACACAGATTTTGATGAAATCAGACAAGAAATAGAAACTGAAACTGAAAGGATTTCAGGAAATAATAAGGTAGGCACTCACAGTTACTGTATTTTTATAAACAAGAATCGTTTCAACGCATGAACTGGAAGCTTCCATTGATCACATAATCACACAAAGTTAATCTCAATATCTGTGTTCAAGCTTTCTTTGTCCAGAAACTGAATGCGCCACTGATTATGATGCTCATAAAATCTAAGATTGTAACTTGGGATGTCATCTCAGGCAGCTTAGCTTGACAGTGCAAAGTTTTGCTTTGTTTTTCCTCTTCACATTTTTTTTAAAATAGGCATTTTTGTCAGTCACATTTAAAGGAAAATGGCACATGAGCCAAGTATAGGAAAAAAGAACATCTATTTGGAATATCAATAAGGTACTCAGAATATATAAGCTTGTGTGCTATTTTATGAACAGCTGAGGTCTAGAAGTGCAAACTTAAATAAATGGGAGTTTGCTCAGTAAAAAAATTACCTCATCTGGTACTACGGTTCAGATGTCTTGGAATGATAGCTTTCATAATTTTCAGCCATTGTGATCCCAGTACATCCAGGAGATATCCAGTTGGGTGGGAGAGTCTGCTTTACCATTAAAACCCAACATTTGTTTAGAAATTACTCTTGGCTTCTTTTTCTCCTGTTTTTGTAGGGAATCAGTCCTGAACCGATTCACCTAAAGATTTTTTCACCTAACGTTGTCAACCTGACCCTTGTAGATTTGCCAGGAATGACAAAGGTAAGAATATATTAACTGCACTTCTTAGGTTTGGAAAATTACAAGATAGCAAATTATACTGCATTGCACTTATTTTCAAAATGATTCTTACCTGGGTCCTAGCTATGTCTACCTCATCACTTTGCGCTACCTTCTATGACAGTATTTCTCAACCTCAGCAGCTTTAAAAACGTTTCCAGAATTCCCCAACTGCATCCTGGCAGCCATCTTAAAGTTGCAGAGAAACACTTTTCTATGAAATCTTTTCTTCTAACCCTGTAGCACAGATCTCTTCAAATAGTTATCTTGCATGCCTTTCCCCAGTTGGCATCCTCCACATTCCTTGAAGTGTTAACTTTTATCATTGCAGCTGTGCTAGTTCGGGAGATGGGGAGTTTAAAGAAACACTTTGAGTTTCTTATGTGACTTTAAAGAAAAAGATTTGTAGGGGTTCTCCCTACTAAAGTTGGTTTAATTTTTCCCCCCTCCTAGGTACCTGTAGGTGATCAGCCAAAAGATATTGAACTTCAGATCCGAGAGTTAATCCTTCGCTTCATTAGTAACCCCAATTCAATTATTCTGGCGGTCACTGCTGCCAACACAGACATGGCCACCTCTGAGGCACTGAAAATAGCCCGGGAGGTTGATCCAGATGGTAAGTATAAAAAGTACATTCCAGATAGTTTTCTATCTCCAGGAAATAATACTTTAAAGCCCAGTTGATAGTTTGATGTCACCTTGTAGTAACATCTGTTCTTAGAAAATTAATATTCTCCATTGGAATGAGTTAATGAGTTTTCCGATTGGAGGGTTTCAGACAAAATTCAAGGTTAAGTCCCATAAATTACCAAGAGCAGCTGAGAAGGCATTCAGTTACTGTTCAAGGATTATTACAGAATTGTATATAGAATGAGGGAGGCAGAATATTCTTCCCCATGGCTCCCTGTTTGTTTTATGAACTTTATTGACAGTAACTATAGTATCAGGTTAGAGTTCACCAGTTCTGAGCCCTCACTTAACGCAAGCCACATTTGACATGCTGAATGGTATCTGGGAGCTGAATAGAATAAATCACAGACTGGGAGGAATGCTTAGCCCTGAAGCTTGTTTCACTTTATGAATCCTTGTTTATGAAACATAGAACAATTGTCTCAGATGCTGAAGTGTTTTGCTTTGCCAATTATTGTTAATTTCTGTTGCTAATTTCTTATATTTGGATTTATTTCTGGTTATGTTTCTGTTTCGTTTTAGTCGCTAAACTTTAAAGCAACAGAGATTTGGTTTCGACGTTTCGTTCTGTGCAAACTTCTTGTCAGGGTAGCGGCAGTTACTCCAACTTGTTACTTCCATTTGTTGCAAATCATCGTTATTAGTTTTTTTAGTGAAACTTCTGAGAGAGAGGGAGGATTCATTTATATTGTTCATGGTAGTACATAGGAATTAAAGCATATCTTCATTTAATAAAGATAAACAATTTATACACAATGTACATCACCAAGACTGAGCTGGTATCAAGCCAAAACGGTCCCAGTTCAAATGCATTTAGGTTTTCTAGTTTGCTTGGCAGTTCCTATTGGCAGAACAAGCCAAGAGGTGGTGATTCAGCAGTGAGTACATTAGCTGAATTATAAGAAACTACAAATCAGAAAAACTCTGACCTAGCTCTATGGCTGAGGCAGCTTAGAATAACTTCACAATTTGCATTAAATCAGAGAATGACTTAATCTTTAAATAGTGAATTTCCCTTCTGCATGGCCTTGTTTAATGGTCAACTTTGCACTTTTTTCACCTTTTTTTCCCTTTTTGTTTTGTTTTTACTTTGGGTAGATATTTCCTAGGTTTGAAAAGTTAGATACATGACCAGCTTAATGTAAATGACAGTTTTCCTGCCGCTCTGATAGGGCGGCGTACGCTTGCTGTGATCACAAAGCTGGATCTTATGGATGCTGGCACAGATGCCATGGATGTACTTATGGGAAGAGTAATACCTGTGAAACTTGGCATCATTGGTGTGGTCAACAGGTGAGTGTGGAGTGGCAGGAGAGTTTGATTCTGAAAGAATTTTTTTTAATTCCCACACATCCTAGATATTCATTCCCACATTTTGGCGTAAGGGTTCAGTAAAACTATTGCAGATAATGGGTAACTTAAAATTCTCAAACTTTTTATATTATGTAAACTAAGGTTTAGGAGATACTGCTTTTCTGCAGTCATTTCGAAACAGGAAACAAGCACAACCATAAAATGGGTCTTCCAAAGAGGCAACTGGACTTAACTTTTTTTTTTTAAAAAAAAGACATTTTGCTTTTCATCCAAGAAGCTTCCTCAGCTCTGAAAAAGCTTCTTGGATGAGAAGTGAAACATCTTCAAAGAAAAACAGTTGCCTCTTGAAAAAGCACCTTTGGGACAACCATGACCCGGATGGCTGAGAATCTGCACAGACATATAGGTTGGGTCCCAAAATAGAAATAACAATAAATAGCAAAGAACGTCCTCCCCTCTCGCATTAACCTTTCCAAATTTGAAGAAAATGGGGACGCGTATATCCTTGCCTTGCACACAGGGCATGCTTTTCCTGTTCCCCACACTCTTTCTCCCTAGAAGTGCCTGTTCCTTTGCCTCTGATACAAAAAGAAGAGATGGGCAACATTTAATGGGTTAGGTGGCAACTTGGCCTTCCTGGAGAACGCAAGTAGTGATGCACTGGGGGGGGTGGAGTCAAAGTTCACCATCAATGCCTTAGTGCTGGGAAACCCCACCTACTTCTGGTATAAATAGTGGTACAATTGTGGCAGCAAGTAAGATGAATGAAAGCACAGTTAGGATTTGGCATCATTACAGACCCTATATATCGATATATGTTTTGTGCCAGGTCTGTCTTGTCAGACAGTAATATTGGCAAAGCAGTAGAAGTGTTGTGGTTGCACTTTTGAATGGAAAGCAAAAAAAGACAAAATAAATCCCAAAATAGAAAAAAAAAATCTGTTGATAGGCCATCAACAGGAAAAGAATATTAAGTTCTAGTTCATATGCTGCAATGGCCAATTCCCATTGGTGATGAATAAGATGTGAAGTCTTTTATCACAGTATTCACAATAAATCTTATTAACCTGCAGGAGTCAGCTGGATATCAACACTAAGAAGAGTGTGGCTGATTCGATTCGTGATGAATATGGTTTCCTCCAGAAGAAATATCCCTCTTTAGCCAACCGCAATGGGACAAAGTATCTAGCTAGAACACTTAACAGGTACAGGGAGTTGCTCTGATCTTAATTTGCAACTTGATCCTTCTCCTCCTCCTCCTCCTCCTCCTCCTCCTCCTCCTCCTCCTCCTCCTCCTCCTCCTCCTCCTCCTCCTCCTCTTTTATTTATTGAATTTGTTTGCTCTCCCATCTCTCCATAAGGAAACTCTGGGCAGTTTATAACATTAAAATAAAACCCTAAATATATGTATAAATGTATAAAATATCATTAAAATTGCAATAAAGTACAAGTTATAATTAAAGATAGGGAGAAAGCGAGGAGTATATACCGGGGGGGGTGAATATATACAGGGGGAACCCCACCATTAGCAACAACATGGACTTACATACTGCTCCATAGTGCTTTATACCCCCCTCTCTTAAGTGGTTTACAGAGTCAGCATTTTGACCCCCAACAATCTGGGACCTCATTTTACCAATCTCAGAAGGATAGAAGGCTGAGTCAACCTTTAGCTAGTCAGGATGAAACTGTTGGCAGTTAACAGAGTTAGCTTGCAATCGTGCATTTTAACCACTGTGCTACTATGGCTCCTGTTAGTTGATCAACCACTTTTAGAGTGATATTCCCCCATCGGGGCTCATGTTAGAGAATTTTTTTCTTTTGCTGGTGAGTAATATTAAAGGCTGCACAAAGTGTCAATTGTAGGGGCACAATGTTCTGCAAAAATCTTGAAGAGTTTTTATCAGTGAACTCCAGAGGTAAAATAATGTTCTGAGTGCAGAATTATTTTTGCAGTTTTGATTCTCATATATGCAGGAACACTTGGAAACCTGGCATTTCTTATGGGTTGATTTGATATTATGGTATTAGCTTTGTGAGGTAAACAAATTGCCAGTTTCAATTTGATTCCTCCTACCTTGGCAAATTATAAGCCTTTGCTTATAAAGGATAGATTTTGAGGTTTATTTAAGTGCTAATTCTGTGTGATAGATAAACATAATTTAATGGAACATAATTTAATGGAATCCTTGCTGATACATTTCTTCATGTCAGTCTATTATACTGTAACTTGGTTTATTTGATACTAACTTCACTTCCAAACCAGCCTGGTTGCTAATTAAAGAAATAAACAATTGCAGGGACCTCTAATTACAGCTCACCCATAAGGGCATTACTTCTGCACAATTGTGCTACATTTCATTGTTTGTTGCCTCCCAGTAGATACTCAGAGACTCCCCTAGTTGAACCACAACCTGTAAATACTCACTTGATAATCTCTCTAGTCTAGAAGGAGGGCTTATACTCAAAGGCCATCAGCACCCATTATTTGAAATAGTCTTTCCCTAGAAAGAAAACATGGACTATCTTTGAATTGTTTTAAAGATTAGAATTCACACTGGCAGCTGGGTAACGATCCCTAGTATACTGTGTGTTTTGTTACTACATTTATCTATTTTTATCATATGTTATTGCATTTAAATATCCTGCCTGGAGATTGAAAAATATTTTAAATAATTAAAACTAATCAACAATGTAGCTTACATAGCTGAATGCTGTTAAATTTTTCAAATTGTATGTCATGTATTAAAATTAAAGTGTTTGAGGAATGGTCTGGAACATCTCAGTGAAATACTTTAGCCTACTATAACTTCATAACTTTTTCTTTCAAAAATCTCAGTCGTATATATATTTCCAACTAAAAACTGCTGGCATTCAGACTTCATTTTTTTAACAGCCAAAATGTGGAATGAAAACTTGAATAGATTGCATGCTTAAATCATCTTTCTAATGGTTTCTTTCCCCCTCTCCAACTTTGCTTTTAGGCTACTCATGCATCACATTAGAGACTGCTTACCTGAACTGAAAACCAGAATCAACGTTTTAGCTGCCCAGTACCAGTCTCTGCTCAACAGTTATGGAGAACCAGTAGATGATAAGAGTGCCACGTTATTGCAGCTTATTACCAAATTTGCCACTGAATATTGCAACACCATTGAAGGGACAGCAAAATACATAGAGACTTCAGAACTGTAAGCAAATGTTACAGATTTTGCTATGGATGATAGTCTTTCTAGACCAGTCCTGTCAAACTGGTGGCCCATGGGCCGGATACTGTTACTGTAGGCCACGGCTACCCCAGCTCCACAAACGCAAAAAACATCATGATACGGCCCACGATGCAAGTGGGTTTGACACCCCTGTTCTAGATGATAGAGAATACATACAAGTAATTCTTGTTTAATGTCCGCTTGTTCGGCGACTGTTCAAAGTTAAGCAGCATTGAACGAGAGGTAATGACAAGTAGTCCTTGACTTACAACCATTTGCTTAGTGACTATTCAGAATTAAGATGGACCTGATCCGGATTCCTTTCCTCCCCCCAGTTGCATGATCACATTTTGGGGTGTTGGCAGCCAGCCCTCATTTAGAGCCATCTGCAGATCCCATAGTCATATGACCACAATTTTGATGGGGTTTTTTTTTGGGGGGGGGGGGATTTACTTCCAGTTTCTGGCAAAAAAAAAAAGCCCATTGTAGACAACGGGTTTGCTTTACAACCTTGTTATTTGCTTCACAACTGCCATATTAGCTTAACGATCCCCCCTGTGCTCCGTTTTTTTGCTTCCTGGGCCTTAGGGAACCTTCCTGGGTGAAGCAGTAAGACAGCAAGGGGGATCCTGGCACAGCTGATTGTCAGAATAGCTGATCGTTGGAAGGAAAAAAAATACTGGTTTGGCCAAACCGGTAGCTGTTTTTTTACTACCGGTTTGGCCAAACAGTAACACTTTTTTACTACCGGTTTACCCGAACTGGTAGAATACCACCACTGCTTCACGGCCAGCTTTTGAGAGGCAAAGCCCATGGGGAAGCCAGCAAGAGGTTGCAGGTGGCAGTCATGTGGTCCTGGGTGCTGTGACTTCACATAATGGATCTAAGAATGGTAACTGAGAGTGCTGGAACTGTAATTGGTACAGTCATATCACATTACACATTACAACTGTATTGAGCAACGGAGTTCCCAGTCCCAATTATCATGGGTAAGTGGGTCCTCATTGGTAAACTTACCTGGTTAGTAAGTTTTTAACGCTTGACTTGAACTGTGCTCTCCTTGCAGAAAATTAAGTACAGCTAGTCCTGGAGTTATGACAACTGAGTCCAAAATTTATGTTGCTGAGGGGTAACATTTGTTAAGGGAGTTTGCCCCACTTTATGACTTTTCTTGCCACAGTGGTTAAGTGAATCATTGCATTTGTTAATAACACAGTTGTTAAGTGAATCTGGCTTCCCCATTGACTTGGCATGTCAGAAGGTCTCAAAAGGTGATCACATGACCCTCGGAACACTGTGACTGTCATAAATATGAGTCAGTTGCCAACCATCTGAATTTTGATCATGTGACCATGGGGATGCTGCAACAGTCATAAGCTTGAAAAGTGGTCATAAGCACGGGTGGGATTCTACCAGTTCGTACCTATTTGCTAGAACCGGTTAACATTCCAAGCAGTTCGGAGAACCAGTTGTTAGAAGAAATTACTGGCCTAATCCTGTAAGGAAGGCAGGAAGGAAACATTCTGGTGTTGCTTACAGAAACTGCCTCTCCATTAACCCTTATTACATTCTTGGCAGGACTAGACTTCCTGTTTCAGGAACGTCTCTGGAGTTTTTTTCCCCTCTTTTACTGGTACTTTGCTTTTGTGGAGTGACCATTCAAAGTTATAGTGGCACTGAAAAAAGTGACTTATGACCATTTTTTACACTTACAACTGTTGCAGCATCCCCACAGTCATGAGAGGCCAGGCGAGGAGACGCGTGCCACGAGGTGAGTGATGTTGAGTTGGCCATGCCCAGCCAGTCACATGACTACCAAACCATGACCACCAACTAAGCTGCGCCCACAGAACTGGTTGTTAAAAAATTTGAATCCCACCCCTGGTCATAAGTCACTTTTTTCAGTGCCGTTGTAACTTGGCATGGTCACTAAATGAACAGTTGTAAGTGGAGGAGTCCCTGTACCTATAATACAACTTGGCTTACTCGTTTCCTGTTTACTTTCCCATCTTTTAGGTGTGGTGGAGCTAGAATTTGCTACATTTTTCATGAAACCTTCGGGCGCACCTTAGAGTCTGTGGATCCCTTAGGTGGCCTTAACACCATTGACATCCTGACTGCCATTAGAAATGCTACTGTAGGTATTACCCTTTTATAACTACTCAGTAAGATACTTTTTCTGGTTAAAACAGATACTCTGTGGTCAGGGTGGTGGTGTTAATAATAGAATGATCTGCCCAATGCTTCATTGCCCTATTCAGCATGGTGAAGTATGATAACAACAAAAAAAAAACCTAATTGCTTTCCTTTTGATCAGGGTCCACGGCCTGCATTGTTTGTACCTGAAGTTTCATTTGAGTTGTTAGTAAAGAGGCAAATCAAACGCTTGGAAGAGCCCAGCTTGCGATGTGTGGAACTTGTTCACGAGGAAATGCAGCGGATTATTCAACACTGTAGCAATTACAGCACCCAGGTAAAAGAAGGAGCTGGTGGGTGGAAGTTGTTGCTGGTAGAGCTTGACACAATCTGAGCAGGCTGGAAAATCTCTGCCAAGGCTATCAAAGCAATGCGCCTATAAATTATAATCTCCTTGGAGATAAAGGAGACTTCTTCTCATTAAGTTAAAAAAAAAATTAAATGAACAGGTGTTGGAATAATAATAGATTCTTCCAGTGGTCTGTGTGCATACTTAGACACGGGGGTCTTTTTAGTATGGACATGTAAGCAAATGCTTTGTTTTGGCATCGCTTACACAGTGTAGTGCCCCATATGATCCTGGACAAATTCCCTAATTGTCAGCCAGCATGGTTGTGTTGACAACATTGGCTGAAAGTCAAGAGAGTATAGTCCAAAACATCACAATGGGAAAAGGCTTGTAATCTTAAATATGTGCCTAAGGAAGCAAGAGGAGGGCATCAAGTAAGAGTAGAGCCACAGAGGTTCTCTTTTACTTTACAGGGGTAAGAGGATGGGCATTTCAGGAGTCATACTTCCATGTTCCACTCTGTTGAGATAATGAGCCCTGGTGGCATAGTGGTTAGAGTGCAGTATTGCAGGCTGCTTTGGCTGACTGCTAGCTGCCTGCAATTTGGCAGTTCAAATCTCACCAGGCTCAAGGTTGACTCAGCCTTCCATCCTTCCGAGGTGGGTAAAATGAGGATTCAGATTGTTGGGGGCAATAGGCTGTCTCTCTGAAGCGCTTAGAGAGGGCTGTAAAAGCACTGTGAAGCGGTATATAAGTCTAGGTGCTATTGCTATTAGAGAAGAGTAATTGACACCAGTGTAAAGGGATGGATTCTTCTAAGTGGAACTCAAGCCGTTGAAATGAAGTCTACCACCAGGGAGGTAGAGATAGCTTTTGTAATTAGGATGGTCCTGGGTGCACTCAGTGGTCTCTGCTGATTTACAGGAATTGTATCACTTATGAAAACCAGCTTCTTCTGGAAGGTAAATGTTCTAATTCATTCATTTTGACCATTCTGTTTTTGATTATAGCAAATGAAATCCTGTGCTGTTTTGCTTGTATTCAGGAATTGCTGAGATTTCCTAAACTCCATGATGCCATTGTTGAGGTTGTGACCAGTCTTTTGCGCCGAAGGCTACCAATTACAAATGAAATGGTAATCAGGGTGGAGATTCTTGTTTTATAACACTTTTGGTTACATGAAAACTTGAGACAAATGTTATAAGATATCACTATTTGGATTTGTTGCTAAAGAATTATTTTGGTGATTAAATAACAGTTTTGCAAGTGACGTCTACAATTTCTGACAGAAGTACATAGAATGAGCTTTCTTCATAGAACTTAAGCTTCAGTTTAACTGTTACATCCTTATACGGTAACAAACTCCAGTATATTCAGTACATAGGATCACTTGTTGTATGGCTTAATTCAGAATCAAATGTTCATAAGAACTTGTCTTTCCATTTTAAATTTTTTGATCTACATCAAAGGCTGCAAAGTATTGTAACATGATATATGTGGCATAAACTTTGAGAACTATAAAATCACTTTGAAACAAAGAAAACAAGCAACTTACAAAAACCTAATTTGAAAAATTTGCTGAGAAAAAAATATTTTTGTTCTAGATGCAGTGTTCAATGCCAGCTAAAGTTTTGAAGTTGTTTTTCAATGGAATTAAAGTTTTGATTTTCCCCCCCCCCTCTTTTATTTTCTTCTAGGTTCACAACTTAGTAGCCATTGAATTGGCTTATATCAACACCAAGCATCCAGATTTTGCGGATGCTTGTGGGCTCATAAACAATAATATAGAGGTAAAAGAAAATCTCATCTTTTCAAATGTTCATGATACATTATTAAACTTAATAGATTTTCATATCAACTGCTGAGGATGGACTTTGTGTTTGCCTGATTGGGACTATTAGTTCATCTGTAATATCATCTTGCCTGTGTGACAGAAACATCTGTGTCTCCAATTCTTGGAGGTAGTACAGGCTACAAGGATTCCTTTTGTTAGCAGAACCTGCTCCTGCAGTCCTCTTTAACTAGTTAGATGACAGTATTGCAAGCTAACTCTGCCAACAGCCAGGAGTTCGATCCTAACCAGCTCAAGGTTGACTCAGCCTTCCATCCTTCCAAGGTTGGTAAAATGAGGACCCAGATTGCTGGGGGCAATAGGCTGACTCTGTAAACTTCTCCAAGAGGGCTGTAAAGCACTATCGAGCGGTATATAAGTCTAAGTGCTATTGCTATTGCGCTTGCTATTAACTCATCTTTAACATATTTAACTCTTACGGAGTTTGCAGAAATCATGCTTAGATAAGTGAGTGTCAGCATGGACTCCTGGAAACTGCCAGGGTTAATCCCTCCAGTTTTCTTGGCAAGGTTTTCAGAAGTGGTTTCCCAATGTCTTCTTCCTAGGGCTAGGAGAAAATGACCGGTCCAAGGTCAATCAGCTGGCTTTGTGTTTAAGGCAGGACTAGAACTTCGAGTCTCCCAGTTTCTGTCCTGATGCCTTAAGAATCAGGATCTGATTGCTGCTTGACAGTTAATTTCTAATCTTATTTTTTTTCTTCTTAAAGGAACAAAGGCGGAACAGGTTAGCTAGAGAGATGTCTTCTCTTGCAGTACGGGACAAGGTGAGTGTGTCTGATATTCTTCATAAAATTGTCAGAAGGTTTTTTTAAGTGCCAGCTTGCTTTTTGCTTTTTTTTTAAGGCGGTCCAAACTGCTGCTTAGTGTCCTCTTATTTCTGACATTCAGCAAATAAAGGGATAAAAGAGCCTGATTAATCTTAACGCATGAGGTATTGTCAAGCAATGCTGATATCCTTCTCTGCCCTTCTTGCCTTTTTTAGTCCATTAAGCCTCCTGGTGTTATGGCACCCTCTTCCCAGGAGACTTCTGCTGCTGGTTCTGCTGAGGTTGATGGCAAGGTCTGTCTCTCTTTCTTCCAAGCACTGCATGCTTAGTTATTTTGTGCTGTACCTTGGTCAATTGAGCACAGCTCTTACAAACAGCTAAGGTCATGGTTTGGAACTCATTCTTCAAGTTGATTGTGTGTCTTCAGATGTTAGGTTATTGAATGGTCTTTGGGTAAAAGGTTTCATCTTGGGTTCTAAGCAGCTCTGAGTGTTTAGTGCAGGGGTCTTCAAACTTGACAGCTTTAAGACTTGTGGACTTCAGCTCCCAGAATTCCTCCTCCAGTCATGTTAGCTCAGGAATTCTGGGAGTTGACGTCCACAAGTCTTAAAGCTGCCAAGTTTGAAGACCCTTGGTTTAGTGGGTTTGGTGTCTTTGTTATATGAAAGCTAAGTAGGATTGGATTTAGGAAGTAGTATATTTGGATAGGAGGTTATTAGAAAAACACAGAACTTCAGATTAAATTAGGAAGTTAAAAAACAAAACAGGAAGCCCAGAATATGAAACCACTTCCACATTGATGTCAGGAAAATTACATGAATGTCTCTAGGCTCCAGAAGTTGATTCTGACTCAAGAATCTTTACCTTTATACCTCAGTGTTTACCTCAGAGTGAAATTATGGTGATCATATGGGTATCTACAACAATAATTGAGTCCAAAATACCCATTGCTAAGAAAGGCAGTTGCTAACTGAGTTTTGCCCCATTTTATGACCTTTTAAAGCAAATTACTGCAGTCATTAAGTGAATCATGCGGTCATTAAGCAAATCTGGTTTCCCCCATTGACTTTTGCTCCTTGGAAGCTGGCTGGGAAGTTTCCACATTGTGATCACATGACCCCAGGACATTACAAGTGTCATAAACAGATGCCTGTTGCCAAGTGCCTGAATTTTGATCATGTGACCATGGGGATATTGCTGTGGTCATAAGGGTGACAATGGTCACAAGTCAAGTTACATTTGGATATTATTGGGAAAGAGATTTAATTTTGATCCTTGTCATGAGAAGCTGACTCTCGGGGATAAATCTTATTTAAAAATGAGAAGTAAAATATGTAAAAGAAAAAAATGGATTAAAAAGGAGTTAACCTGTATCATCATATTGCTAATTATATTTTTTAAAGAGACATTCCTAAAAATGCTAAGTGCAATTTATTCAATTAAAACATTAGTTTTTCAGTTTGGACCTAATGCGTCAGAATCATCAGACCATTTTAGACAAAAAAATTTAATGGCTAAGACAACAGTTCATCTTTATCAGCAATTGAAGAATCATATTAAAATAAATATTGATAATTTATAAGCATATAGGGTAAAGAATTAGGGTGTCCAGTTTTAACGGTCTGTTCTCTTAACTTCAGTAAAAAAAAAAACACTAGGAGGGTTTACAAGGCACCTGAGCAAATACACTGCTCAAAAAAATAAAGGGAACACTTAAACAACACAATGTAACTCCAAGTCAATCACACTTCTGTGAAATCAAACTGTCCACTTAGGTAGCAACACTGATTAACAATCAATTTCACATGCTGTTGTGCAAATGGAATAGACGACAGGTGGAAAGCATAGGCAGTTAGCAAGACATCCCCAATAAAGGAGTGGTTCCGCAGGTGGTGACCACAGACCACCTCTCAGTTCCTATGCTTTCTGGCTGATGGTTTGGTCACTTTTGAATGCTGGTGGTGCTTTCACTCAAGTGGTAGCATGAGACGGAGTCTACAATCCACACAAGTGGCTCAAGTAGTGCAGCTCATCCAGGATGGCACATCAATGCGAGCTGTGGCAAGAAGGTTTGCTTTGTCTGTCAGCGTAGTGTCCAGAGCATGGAGGCGCTACCAGGAGACAGGCCAGTACATCAGGAGGCCGTAGGAGGGCAACAACCCAGCATTAGGACCTCTACTTCCGCCTTTGTGCAAGGGACAGGAGGAGCACTGCCAGAGCCCTGCAAAATGACCTCCAACTAGCCACAAATGTGTATGTGGCTGCTCAGACAGTCAGAAACAGACTCCATGAGGGTGATATGAGGGCCCGACGTCCACAGGTGGGGGTTGTGCTTACAGCCCAACACTGTGCAGGACGTTTGGCATTGCCAGAGAACACCAAGATTGGCAAATTCGCCACTGGCACCCTGTGCTCTTCACAGATGAAAGCAGGTTCACACTGAGCATGTGACCGACGTGACAGGGTCTGGAGACGCCGTGGAGAACGTTCTGCTGCCTGCAACATCCTCCAGCATGACCGGTTTGGCAGTGGGTCAGTAATGGTGTGGGATGGCATTTCTTTAGGGGGCCGCACAGCCCTCCATGTGCTCTCCAGAGGTCGCCTGACTGCCATTAGGTACCAAGATGAGATCCTCAGACCCCTTGTGAGACCATATGCTGGTGCGGTTGGCCCTGGGTTCCTCCTACTGCAAGACAATGCTAGACCTCATGTGGCTGGAGTGTGTCAGCAGTTCCTGCAAGACGAAGGCATTGATGCTATGGACTGGCCTGCCCGTTCCCCGGACCTGAATCCAATTGAGCACATCTGGGACATCACCAACGCCATGTTGCACCACAGACTGTCCAGGAGTTGGGGGATGCTTTAGTCCAGGTGTGGGAGGAGATCCCTCAGGAGACCATCCGCCACCTCATCAGGAGCATGCCCAGGCATTGTAGGGAGGTCATACAGGCACATGGAAGCCACACACACACTACTGAGCCTCATTTTGACTTGTTTTCAGGACATTACATCAAAGTTGGATCAGCCTTTAGTGTTTTTTTCCACTTTAATTTTGAGTGTAACTCCCAAATCCAGACCTCCATGGGTTGCTAAATTTGATTTCCATTGATAATTTTTGTGTGATTTTGTTGTCAGCACATTCAACTGTGTAATGAACAAAGTATTTAATAAGAATATTTTATTCATGCAGATCTAGGATGTCTTATTTTTATGTTCCCTTTATTTTTTTGAGCAGTGTAGTTAAAAAGGGATGCTTATCTACCATTATCTGTTGAAAAAGTAATAAATTCAAAGGCAGTGGTTGAGACATTCTTGCAAATTATGCAGCTAATGAAAAATTAAGAGTAGGGGATTTTTTTTAAGTTGATGTTTTGTTAATTAGATATCAGTTGTTGTAACACTTGGAACAACGAATGGAAATGAGTTTTAAGAATTAAAATGTCGGATTGCTAAAAGTGTACACATGTCAAGTTAATCATGTATGTGTAAACCTGTGTATCTGCACGTTCAGGTTAAATAATACTTTCTAACTTATCGGAGACAATATAGGTTTGAATGGTGAAACAAAATTAGTGGAGATGAGAGTTTTCTCTTTCTTGTAATTATTCTGGAGAAACTAACCGTGTTAAGCTTATTCAAGGATTTAGGCTAAATTTCTCATGCATTTCCACTTAGCCTGACAGTAAATTGTTGCTGCTGAAATTAAAAGGAATTCTGCAGGCTTTGACTATTGTAGTTCCAATTACAGGTTTACAGATTTGCATGTTAGGGAGTGTTCGTTGCACTAAAAGCTAATTGTACATTTTTAAGGATCAGTCTGAGCCTTCACCTCTTGTTTGTTCTTTGGTGATACTATACTGTTGTCTTCCAGAGGAACATAAAGACCTGGGTCTCTCCCAAAACATTAGCCTAGGTTGGGATTTCAGCTGGGAGGCTGTTTGGTCCAACTTCTTGGGGGGTGGGGGTGTACTTTTGCTTTTATTTATTTTTTAATGGACATTGTGGGCTGCCTAGAATCATTATTTGAAATAGGAAGCAGTATAAGTCCTATAAAATAAATAAATAGCATACCTCTGTTAACATTTATCTGTCAAGAGAGTTAAAAGGATAAAATAATATGGGTAGTAGGAGGAACATATGCCTTACATTCTTAGTGATGGAATAAGAAAATTGAATACATTGACTGAACGAAATTGGAGGAAATGTTCAAATAAGCATTTATCTAGTAAATAAGGAATTCAGTTTGCATATTATATCTTCCCTCGAATTAGGTGTCCCTTGGTGCCGGAGAAACAATTCCAGAATCTGGAACTGGAAATTGGAGAGGAATGCTGAAAACATCCAGGACCGAAGAGATACTAGCAGAGGAAAAATCCAAACCAGTAACAGTTCTACCTGCCAGCCCTCAAAAAGGCCACGCTGTAAACTTGCTAGATGTGGTAAGTACCTAGAAGAGCCTGACTGAGCAAAGCTACAGTTTAAGAACAAGTTATTGATCACAAATGTTCTGTTACAATGAAGAGAGCTCATCCTTTGAACTGTTTCCCAGATTAAAGCTGTAGGTTGCTTTGACTCTTTCTGATTTGGCAATTTTATGAACCAATTATAATAATTTGTCTCAAAAATGTGATTTGACAAATTTCCCATCAGTCAATTGCAAAAGGCTTTACTTGGAACGGCTTACATCCTACAATACCTGTCACACCATCAAACATACACATCTGCCTATCCCAGATCCTTGAAAAGGACTTGATAGGTAGACAAAAAGGCCAAAACCAGTTTGAATATCTGGCTGACTCTGCAACGAACAACAACAACAATAAATAGCAGTATCCTATTAAAAAATCAGGTTAGCATTTGTTTACCAGTGTTGTTTATTATATTTATTATATGTATTTGTGATTTTTGTTTTCCTGTTACACTCCTTCTAGCCTGTTCCTGTTGCACGCAAGCTTTCAGCCCGGGAACAAAGAGATTGCGAAGTGATAGAACGTCTCATCAAGTCCTATTTCTTAATTGTGAGGAAGAACATTCAAGACAGGTAAGATATATTAACACTCCAAGAAGCTTGCATTGTGATAGTTTTAGCTTGCATCTATGATGACATAGATGCTCTGATAGCCCTCTTTTTCTGCAGACCTAGATACAAAGTGTGTTGATTTGATTGAGGGCCTTCAGTTTGCTTCCATTTTAGTTCCTTATGCCAACTCATAATTGAAGCTAATAATGATTCAAAAGCAGGAGTAAGCCAATCTTTCAGAGGGGAGGGAGGAGCAGGGAAAACATTTTGAGAGCACTTACATTCTTGCCACTCTGACTTTTTTCCTTGAGCAGACATTTAAAACAAGCACTCGTCTGCAGCCTCCTGCCGGTTTTAGCTTGCAGGAGTGTTCATGGAGGCTTCATCATATTGAGGTTCAGAAGCCTTGCGCTGCTGGAGTCTGGCCTTTCACTCTACAGCATGTCAGTTTCTAATGCTGGGTACAAACCCATATTTAAAAGGCATAATATGATTCAGTGGCCAGTTAACATTGAATGCATACATAAAAACTGAATCTTAAAGCAACTGCCGTTTTTTTTTTTTTCCTGGCTCACACAGTTGTCTTCCGCAGCTTTTATAGGATTGCAAAAAATAAATAAATACATGTTTGCTTTAAAAAGTTCCTAGCTGATAGGCTATGCGTGCCGTTCACATTTTGCCTTTCAGATTTGGATTGCTCCCAAATGATTAACGATGTTTTGGTTTTGAACAAGATAAACTGGGGAAGAGTGAGGCAAGGCATGCACCCTCGTTAAGCAAAAATCCCATGTTTCTGCAGTACCATGCTTGCCTCTGCTTCAACTTCCTTCCGCTTATCCTCTGCTTCAACTCCTCCCCCCTTATTTTGGCCATTTTGTGCTCAGTTGCACTTGCCTGCCCCCCAACCGGACCTTCATCTTCCTCCTCCCCCTGCTGATGAGGTGGGCCTGGCAAGATAGCTGCTAACCTGATGGTGACACACCTTATCATGGAGAAAGCCAGCTGAAAGCAGCAGGTGGTGGAGCACAGGGCAGTCAAAGGCGGAAAAAATGGAGAGAGATGGGCAAGTGGGTGGGTGGGGGGAGTTGAAGCAAACCCCGAGGTCATAATTGTGGGCAAATTGCCAAGTGCCTGAACTTTGATCCATCTGACCACAGAGCTGGAATGGCCACGCTACAGATGACATTTCTGACTTTTCTTGTGTTTTGATTGATCACTCCTCGGACCGCAGAAACACGTGTAACTGTTTAAAGAGAGATTTCACTTTCTTTTCTAAGCTTAAAGCAGTTGATCTTCAGAAAGGTGCTTGAACTGTTGCTGTTTGCTTTCAGTGTGCCAAAAGCAGTGATGCATTTTCTGGTGAACCACGTGAAAGATACTCTTCAGAGCGAGCTAGTTGGGCAGCTGTACAAAGCTTTGCTGCTGGACGATCTTTTAACTGAATCCGAGGACATGGCTCAGCGCAGGAAGGAGGCAGCTGACATGTTACAGGTACACAGACCTTTTGCTGAAGGTTTAAATCTGAAGCATCTTAAATCCGTATCCCATTTTGTTTTGTTCTACATACATTCTATGTAGATACAAGGGCGATACAAGTTCTTCGGTAGTTTAGAAAAGGGTCAAAGTAGTTTCGTAATGTAAAATCTGTTTTCTGGCCCAATGCCCAGAGCAGGTTTTCCCAACCTTTTTACCCTGTGGGAACCCTTGGAATAATTTTCAGGTCTGAAGGAACCTTTCCATGAAAATTATTATAGGAAGTCCGTGACTTATTATGACTGTTAGAAGTTATGATGGATCTTGAAAAAGCTACTAATGACCTGGATTCAAAGTTCCAACATCTGCTCCCTACCTCCAGGCCCCATTACATCACTGCATTTTGGGCATTTAGGAGCCAGCCCAAATTTATCACTGTTTGCATATCACATGCCTGTAATTTATGATACTTTTGCAGGAAACTAGCATTTAGTTCATTTCTGGCAAAACAAATGCCCATGATGAACAATGGGTTTGCACAATGACTGTCACAAAAGCCATAAAATTGTGGATGGTCACATGATCTGCTTTATAACGATCATCACTTACGACCAAAATTGTAGATTCAGTTATGATTGTAATTGAGCATTGCTTACATGCCTACAGCTAGCACTGCTTGGCATATGAAAGTCAAAAAAATGAAGTTTCTTTTAATTTCAATCATAACCTCTTGCACAATCCTAGCCCTGTAGCAAAAATAACCTCCCACATTTTAAAAGCTGAATATCTTTACTTAATCCTATTTTTCCTATAAATATCCTGCGATGCAGGAAGCAAGTATGTATTTCCCTGGCTCTTGTAATTTATATTTCTATTATTTACTTTTACTTTGAAATAAGCATGATATAACTGGAGTTGCTAGGGCAATAATAGAGAAGTAATTACTGTTAAATGCATTAATGGACCATAATGCTTATGGAGATCGAATTAGTTGAGTTTTTATTAGACAAATTAACTCTCTCCTAGTATTAGCTTCTTTAAAATAATCTAAATAATTCATTAAGCATTTGAATCTATAGTAGAGGGCAAAGTCTACATAAAATAGTGGAAGAGAGCCAGCATCGGTGTCTCCCTTTTTCCCCCATGTTCAATATTTTTCCTTATTTCTAGAGGTGTCAGTGAAGATACAATAACATCACAGGAAAAACGTGAGCCACAATTCTTTGAGCTCAAGCCTTTCCATGATTTTACAATTTAATATACTCCTTTTCCTAAAAAAAATTGCAGTACTTTTATTGAGCAGAATGATTCAGGGTGTTCTAAGAGCTGTAAATTATTGCCTGACAAGAAGCACTTCTGGATTGATGCCCTTTGCCCTAATTGGTATATGATTTCTTCTTCTTTTCCTCCAGGCCTTGCAACGAGCCAGTCAAATTATTGCAGAGATTAGAGAAACACATCTTTGGTGAAGAAACAAAAGACTTGAAAAGGGCTAGGTGTGAAATACTAAATGAAACTCCATGTGTGCATGTAAAGTCTGCTTATATCAAGAAGTTTGGTTCAGTTATCTATGGACAGAAAACCATCCTATACTTTGCAAAGCAAATAATATTTAATCATCATTATCCCCGTCTGTTTTCTGATGAGACGAACAACCTTGTTTTATGTGGGACTGAATTAAATTAAAATTGAGAGAAAAAGCTAGGTTAAAATCCCAGTGCCTGGTTTGGTTAAATTAGTTGCCTGTGAATAGGATGAGCAGTGGAGTATTGTGATGTAGCTTTTTCAGCTGCTTTTGCAATATAAGTTTTTAACCATGAAAGAAAGACTCTACAATATTTAATTATGAATTTAATTGCATGCCCTTGATCTTTTAAGCAGATGAACAGTACAGGAGAAATATCGCTTCTTAGCTGTGTGATATGTAAAGATAGTTGGTATAACTTCTGGTATTACTGAACTTTTCTCTTTGTTGTAGAAATATGGAATATTTGATTTGTCAGCTGAGGAACAGAATTGGCAAGAAATTTCCATTCACCAGTTTCTTCTGGATGGAATATTTGATTTGTCAGCTGAGGAACGGGAATTGGCAAGAAATTTCCATTCACCAGTTTCTTCTGGATGGGACCAAAAACCTGGGACCATTCCCTTAAAATACCAGGCTTTAAAAAAAAATGGAAATAGTATGAAAGATCATGTCTCTCTTAATATCTTAAAAAGAACACTGAAGTAAAGGCAGCTGTCCATCAGATCAGTTTGGATCACCAGAACAGATTACTAAGTTCTGCCTTTTTTTTAAAACCACCAGTGATACAGCCAATTTGTTTGATTTCTCTACTATGACCAGCAAAAGCAACAATGGCATACTGGTCTCTGAATATTTTATTATTTTAAAGCACAACACATCACAGATTTCCCCCCCTTTTAAAGGAAGCATATTAACTGTCGTGTTTGAAATGAATATTTCTAGCTTCCTTTGAGCAGCACACGTTAGGAAGTAGGCACAGTGCTTTCTTCCATGCTAGTGGAAAACCAAATTTTGCCTGATAGCGTCAACGTAACAGGCTAAAGTTGACCTATATCATTTGAGACCGGACATTTTTAATATTCAGTAAGTTCGAAAGTATATGAGTTCCGCCCTTATTTTACACTGAAACATAGTTGCATTTACTGCTCTTTACATGTGTCTCTGCGTTCAGATTACAGAAATTCACACCTACATACAGGTTAATCATATGAAAAATAAAATTGTGTTTGAATCTCGTTTGTGGCCTTTGCAAATCTGTGGAACTAGATGGTCTTGAATTGAATAACTGTTGTGCCAGGATTCTGACAGTTCAATGAATTGCACTAGTATATGAGTTAAAAGTACTATAATGTATCTTAGCCCAGTCATTACCCCATAAACAGACACAAGCACACCAAACCCAGACTGTTGTTTTACAGCAAGATCCTTTAACTCACAAACAAGCAATTATACATTATTCCATTTCCCCTAGGATATGCCCACATTAACCCCTGGGGAAATTATTCTGTTTTAGAGGAACTTGAAAGAAATATTGTTTTCTCTTGTTTATATTAATTTCTGACTGGATCCTGCCTTTAAGAGCTGTGGTGGCACAGTGGTTACAATGCAGTATTGCAGGCTGATTGTTGGCTCAGCAGTTCAGCAGTTCGATTCTCACCAATTCAATGTTGACTCATCCTTCCAAGGTTGGTAAAATGAGGATGCAGATTGTTGAGGGCAATATGCTGTCTGTAAACCACTTAGAGAGGGCTGCAAATCACTATAAACCTGTGTCTAAATCTAAGCGCTATTGGTGTTCAGTGGGAACATCCAAGTGGATTTAAAGATTTTTCATCACACAAGTAATTGTTGCATGTTCCTGATAATTTTTGCATTGATCCGTGACTGAGAAATGTTGACATTTCCATTGCATCTTCAAAAGTAAACAAGAACATGGGTCAGACCAGTAGTGGGATTCAAATTTTTTTACTACCGGTTCTGTGGGCGTGGCTTGGTGGGCGTGGTGTGGCTTGGTAGGCATGGCAGGGGAAGGAAACTGTAAAACCCCCAATCCCTCCACACCACTCACCTGCTTTCCAGCTTCATTCTCCTGTGCAGTCCCGATCAGCTGGGACTTGGTAGGCAGAGAATAAGATGGGGACAGGGACAGTCAGAGGTGGTATTCCAAACTTCTTAAAATTTCTGCTAGCGGTTCTCCGAATTACTCAAAATTTCCATTGCCAGTTCTCCAGAACTGGTCAGAACCTGTTGAATACCACCTCTGGGTCAGGCTAAACATGTTAACCCATCATTGATAAAAACCCATCTTGCTCTAAAAGTAATGAGAAATATAATTTTGAAGGCAAAGCTCATATTTATTGCAATATTTAATTCCTAAGTTTGTCTCTAAGTGAAGTAAGTTTTTCTAAATTACATCGATACAGGCAGTTTCAAGTACGAACAACAGTTCTGGATCAATTCAAATGATATGACTTGATGATATGAGGTGGGCCAACACAATTGTTTTGGGAAGGCCTGGCATGTGACATCTTTCTTCAGATTACACTGATCCATCTTTTTGGCAATGGTCTGCTAAATTTTGAGAAGTAGCTCTTTTGCAACAGGAACTGTTTGTGATGTTCCTTTAGCTACCCTTCACAGGGAAGATAAAGATGGAATGTTTCCCCAAATGTTCTATACATGTTTTATACAATATTTACTGAGAGTCCATTTTCTATAATTTTCAATATTCCCGGTACAATAGAAACTGAAATGTATACCAAGGCAAGGTGAATTATAGTGCTGGATCAGATCACAGTAACTTTTGCAGAAACATTTAAGACTTTCTGGGTCTAAAGCAGGGGTGTCAAACTCACAGCCTACAGGCTGGATGCATCATGTGCAGGCCACGCCCACCCCAGCTCCACAAAGGAAAAAAATGTGATACATCACATGACATGGCGAGTTTGGTACCCATGGTCTAAAGCAGGGATCGCCAACCTTTTGGACCTCAGGGACCACCAAACTCATACTTTTAAAACCCGTGGACCAGAGACCCTGGGAAAATCCCCCAAAAAGTCTGCAGGAAAATTCCCCACTCCCAATTGATTGTTCTTTATTTGGGATTACAGGATACCATCTCCAGCTCCGTTCTGGGGGGGGGGGGGGGGGGGAGAAACTTTTGGCTTCATGCAAGGAAAGCAGCAGAAATGAGTCTTTGCTGGTGCAGCCTCTTGGAGCAGGATGCCTTGCAGGGTCCCAAAGACTCATTTCTAGCTGAGTTTGGGGAAGAGAAAGACATTTGCTGCTTTCCTTGCATGCAGCCAAAAGCAGAAGTGGAAAGAAGCAGCCCAATGGCCAGGCCAGGCGCTTGGGGCAAGTTCCCCCCTCTGCCCTTTCCCCGCTCCCCTCACTACCTCGTGTTGTTTGCAATGCAAGCGACACAAGCCTTGTGTTCCCACAGGCCATGTGGGCAGCACAGCCTTGTGTTCCCGCGCAGCCTGGATTAATTGCTTTGGGGGTGACATTTCTCTGCAACCGCCAAAATTTTCTCAGACCACCAGTGGTCCTCAGCCCACTGGTTGGCGACCACTGGTCTAAAGCAATGTAAACCTCATCTGCCATAGCAAACATTGCAAAGATAAACGGTTTGCAGTTTGAATCTACAAAAAATGAAGATTATGCCTAGACAATTTGTCAGCTTCTAAAGTTATAACTAATTCTGTAAAGTTGATAGCTTTGTACCAATAAATCACCTTTTAAAGTATGGTCAGTTTTAATCAGTTGTCAAGGCAGCTGAGTGAAGTTTCAGTAAATACAAGTATTTTAATTGTTTTGAATAGTTGTAAATATGAGTTGCTTAGATTTGTTTAAAAAGTGTAGCCCAAATTTTTCTACGAATACTGATTTTCAATCCTTTATTAATGAAGTGTCTAAGAAGGATAAATGCATGAAATAAATACAATTATAATAAAGCTTTGTGAAACACTATCCTAGTAAATATAAAGCAATATATCAAATGTACTCACAAGATGTGGACATTAGCAATTCTGTTCTTGTGGAACAGAATGATTAGCACTCCCTACTATTACAGACTGACCATGGCAGATTAAACTATGAATCTGATTCCAATTACACAATTCATCACTGCACTGTTGATGAATAACAATTTGATAACTAGGTTCAGAGAAACATAAGCTTTAAACAAAAGCAAGCTGGGAAAGCAGTAAAGGCAGTATTTGGTTAATGCAAACTATCTGTAATCTCTTACTTGGAAAGCATAAGATATATAAAGCTTCTGCTGTTTTTGACAGTATAAAAATAGACTTTTCAGTTAGATTAGACCTCAAAGCTAAATTACAATAAATTTAACATTTCTCATCTATTCTAGCATTTGTTTTTAAGCTGAACTTAGCTGCGTTTTTCAAAGCATTCTTACATTTTTGTCAAAACTGTCCAACCCGTAAAATGACTCTAAATAGAAGTTTTTATTGGCCAAGTGTGATTGGGCACACAAGGAGTTTGTCTCTGGTACCTAAGCTCTCAACATATTATCTTAGAAAATACTGAACAAAATTAGTTATTATTAGTGCAGTAGTGCTACTCCTGCAATTTGGCAGACTGAATCCCACCAGGCTCAAGGTTGACAGCCTTCCATCCTTCCGAGGTGGGTAAAATGAGGACCCAAATTGTTGGGGGCAATGTGCTGACTCTGTAAACCACTTTGAGAGGGGTTTAAAGCCTACGTGCTATTGCTATTCGTCTTTAGAATAGGCCATTTTACCTAAAGCTTGTAATTCAAATAATAATGCAACTAGTAAGTCTTTGAAAATTCGCTTTAATATCCTTATTGCAGAGAATATTTCCACAATGATTTATACATTTAAATTCCATTATAACTGAAACCATTACATGTATTTCATGACTGACTGATGAAACAAAACCCCATTCATTTTCCAAATGTTTCTGTAGGTAAGCAGGCCTCACTCAGTGAGAAAAACACTTTACACAACTGTTCCACTGTCCTTGGTAATGTCTGTTGTGTACTTCTGTGTTATGCCTTTCTGATATCTTTGAAGAAAGGTGACCTTTCATAGCTGACTACAAACCTTTATTTTGTCACTCTTCATGTGACAACTGAAGCCATTTTATAATATAATAGTTCCTCTTTCCAATCCTCAGTAGTGATAAACCATTACTGAGAATATGTTGTCCAAGAATAAGTACAGCGTCAGGATTAGTTTCTGTAATATGGTTTATAGAAACCGCACCAACTGTTATGTCACGGTATCTGGAAGAAGAAATTATACAGTTGGATTTACTGCTAAAAAAATCTCAAGATGGTTTAAAAGTAATAAGCATTTATCAGGAATGTGAAGTAGAACAGATTTATTATTTTCAAAACTTGAAAAAAGCAGAGATCCTATTTTCTGATGAAATGCAGGCATCTCCTGCCTACACATCACCATCACTTCTCCCAGGAGCCTACCAGGCCTGCCACTCCAAGGATCTCCAGGACCTCTCCCACCTAT